TGTCTATATATATAAGATTTTTTCGCGGATTATTATTAATATTAATTAGTACTTAATGTTTTAATACCTTCAACGTTCAATTAAATGGAGCAAAATTTAATATTCACTTATGTGTTACGCATCATAAATTTTTATTTTGGTGAATACATATGTATTATTTGTTCTTTTAAGCGAAAAATGTATACTTGACTGATATGATTTTATTTTTGTATTATTGCTTATTATAATAATATTAATCCTTGGTTTATATTCATTTCAATTGAAGAATAAATAAAATATGAATAACATCTTTTCAGTTATCATGACTGATTTTATTGAGTCGTCATATTTATTCGTACAATGTATTATATATCTTACAGATATATATTATACAGATAATAATACAAATTTCTATAGAGATGTCATTGGAATTTTAGAATTTTCACATATCGAGTACAGAGATCAGTGGATCGAGGAATTTCTCAAATCGTTTAATAAGATGTTGGGAGAGGAGAGTTATCAGAACATAGATGATGTCAAAGAAGCGTTAAAAGAATTGAAGCAATGTGATTATATCTGTTAAATGGGTGTTTGATAACGAAGTAGATAAAAACTGGAGTGAGATTATGAAACGGCAATACATGTTTGACAGATTCGAGAAGGAAGCGCTTACAATAAAGAATATAAAAATCAATGAGCTAAGAGAATGGTTTGCAAACAAACCACTGAACAGAATTAAAAGACAATTATAAGCGTACATGTGATAGGAAATAATCCGAAGAAGAATATACTATAGTTAAGAAAATAAGTAAGTATTGATAACTTTTTTGATCAAATTATGATCGATGTCTGTTTTCTAATTTTGTACTATTTCTAGGATTTTATTTTTTGTAAGATTATGTTTAAAAATTGCTGGAATAATTAAAATTAAAAGAAAAAATAAAATTAAAAGAATTAATTGTAGGTACTGCAGAGAATCGTAAGAAATTGCAAAACTTTGTTTTGAAATGTAATATTATCGACAATAGGACAATCATAAAGAAGATCATCATACTTTACGAATATAGAAAATTACAAGAAAGATCTCTTTGTCTATCCATGACGCGCTGAATAATTGATATTTTAACAATAATAGTACAGTGATAATATAATATGATAAATCTTTATATTGTTTTATGATAATATTTTTTTTTATTTATTGAATGCTGAAAATTAAATTTCATTCAATCATTTTTCTCACATTCGACTATGATTGGTCAATTTTTTACGATGAGTGATATCTAATGAGAGCTCTGCTTTACATCGTCACGCGAGACAAAGCAGAGCTTCCATTGGATATCATTCGTTGCTCATCTCCTATCGCGTCCAGTTGACATAAAAGCCAGAAACACAATGAAAAACACAGGCAATAGGAACAGAAAGTAAAAGATTTCAACCTAGAAAATCTCCATTCTAGCATACATTATCTGATAGGTTGAAATTTGTTATTTCTTGTTTCTATTGTGCTTCTATTGTGATTGCGTTCGATTTGTCACTCACGATGCTTGTAAGCATCATTTGTTCTTATTTAATATTTAAAAACAACAAAGATAAAACGACGCTTAAAGCGTTGTGAACGTCAAAACGAACAAAGCTTTTCCGACTTTAAATGGTGCGACCACACTAGAAGTAATAAGGAATTAGGAATAAAGAATAAGAAATCCAACCTATCAGAAACCGTGTATTCCAGTGTATCCAATATCTGATAGGTTGAAAGCCTTATTCCTTATTCCTAAGTGGGTCGTAACCACAATCGTAAACGTGTTGGAATTACGAGAGCGGAGGGGATGCGTTTATGAACGCACGAGCGCATTTGTGAATTGCGTGAAAACTAGTGTAACCATTACAAGTTACAAGGAGCAAGTTGAGGGCAGTGGCAAGTATACAGATCCTATTTAAATTTTATATTGCTTCTCACAACAGTTTCCCGTATTAAGAGAAAGCGAATGTGATGTATTTGCTTTTCGAGTGATACGCTTTCCGATAATTCTCGCTTGAGCGATATCAAGTGACGGAACGCGAATAACTTCGTGTCGATGCGATTCGCGCGCGTGTCGTGTATCGCTGTTTCATAACCTCGTGGCAGTCGTGCGAAAGCGAATTCGTGATCATATCGTTAAACCGTAGAGAGAACGTCGGAAGGAGATCAAGTTCGCGCGGCGTCGTTCGTCAGAAGAAGAAACTCTATTCTTCTGAGAACAGGTGGAAAGTATCGCAAAAGAACTATGAGCCCATTGAATAGAGGTCCTCTTATGGCGCCCAGATTGCCACCGGCCGGCACGCGACAGCTTCCGCCGCCTAGGTTCGCGGGTAGACTAGCACCGCCGCCACCGCCGCATGGTATGCCACCGAGGATGTTACCGCCGCCGTTAAATCCGATGTTCGGTCCGAGTGGACCGCGACAGAGACTGCCGCCGCCGCCACCGCGGCCCGTCGGCGGCGTGTCTCGGCCTAACGGTATGCTGCCGAGATTCCCCGGCGGTCCCAGAGCCCGCGGCATGGCGCCCATCGTGCCGTCGATGGGACCGCGTGGTTCCGGATTACCGCGCGGGCCTCCCATGCGACCTTGGCCGCGACGAATGCCGCTACCACAGATGATGCCGCCAATCAGGATCAGGTACAACATGGGTAATGGGAATACCAAGAGCAAGACAATGGGTAACCCTAAGAAAGGCAAGATTGAAGTACGTACTCTGGCCTTCGCCGTGTTGTTAAAGTTGCTTTTATCCTTGAATCACATTAGTCTTAAAAAAAGTATTATAAACAAGCTCTTGATTTATTTGATTTAATGATCATGTATTTATTCCTGACAGTACAGGTTTATATATATAAGCAAGAGCGTTTCTAGAATGTTTATAATGTATATGTTATATATTTTTGTTACATTTGAAAACTAATTTGACAAGATTAAATTCTTCTTTTATAATATATGATAATTAGTAACGTACACATACGTAGTTAAATTTAAAAAAAATTTTGTATTAGTTATTAAGTTTTTGACATTTAAATCTCTTATTGAAGAAATATAATTATATTATAAATATAATTATTTAGGAATTAGAATTAAAAAAACCATGGATGACAGACGAAATTCGTAATGAGATTCAAAGAAAAAACAAACTGTATGCTAAGGCAAAAAAGAACAAAGATGCAGTAGAATGGGAGGAATTTAAGGATCTTCGAAATAAAGTGACGAGGATGATAAGAGATGCAAAAAATGAATACCTTGCAAAGCATCCCGAACAGGTATCGTTTTTGTTGCTGTTATGTCAAAATTATTTTAATATTTTTTATTTTAAGTTTTAAACTTTTTCAGAGAAAAAATTAATATAGCATATGATTGCAATAAAATTACTTTCTTTCTACAACTTGGCTTGTTTTATCCAATATCTTAATGACATTTTTATTTTCTGTCTTTATTCTTTGTCTGATGATTTATTAATTATTATTTTAAAACGTATATGCAGTAATGGGTGTGTGTATGTTTATGTATGTATTAATCAGTTTATGTATATGCACAAATTATTATATGAAAATAATTTGCCTAAGTAATCTTTTGCATGCTATCTCATTGTACATGAAAAACAAAATTTACTTTAATTATTTTTTTTTTAATTAAGAATAAGGGGTAGTGCAATAATTTGTCTTATTTTAGAAAAATAAAAGCATAAATTGATTAATTGTTTAATAAGTGAATTACAACTTTTCTAATTATCGAGTATGATATTTTTCTTTTAATATTGAAGTTATATTATAATAAAAAATATATAGCATGTATAACAGTATGGCATGAGTTAATACAAAGTAAAACAGGTATATTTTTTGAAAAATCGCAAGATATTACAATGCATTCTAGATTTATATTTTTTCTATGGAACATAAAGACACTGTACATTTTGTTTCTCTGATGACAAATGTGCAATAAAAATTAATTAAGCCAAGATAGGGGAATGAGTTAATAGCAAATATATTATTATAAGACGTACATTTTTTAATTCTAAATACATATTCTATAAACGTATGTAGTCATTGTGCGATGAAAATCCGGCGTGTTTTCTTCAACGTTGATGGCTTACTTTGGTTTTACAGGGTAATCAGAAAACAGATGATAACAATACGAATGAATCCAGGGGTGTTCAGAAAACTGTGAATTCAACTGAACAATCAGAACAAACGGAGCAAAAGGAGGAGACGCAGCCTTCCAGCAAATAGGCACAGTCTTAAGCTTAAGAGGCTACTCCTCCTATTAAAGAGTTATATAATTCAAATGACACACAACCATCTGTTTTCAAACTTCAGAACGATTTGATCCTTATATTTTGATACCTAGCAAATTTTTTTACCCGTATCATCGCTATAAGTTCTGTAAGATCTTGATATATGTAGATACACTCCATTTTTTTCTTCATAATTTTTGCAACATAACAATCGTATGTCTTTTGTATTATTTTACATCATAAGTGTATGCTATTTAAAAACATGCTGATGAAATAATGTTGAGAAAGTAGCAGCTAGTTGAAATAGTTTTTAGAGCAATTAGGCCATCTGTGAGAATTACTTCATCTCTTTTTTTATGTATTATATATTGATATGTATCTACTCATATGGACATATATGTTGGATATAGTTAATTACTTAAGCACTTGTAATATGACAGTTAACTAGATGTAATAATTTTTTATCAGGCATGTAAAAACTGGCCGTGAATAAATTTTTCTCAAAGTTTTTTCCATGTCTAGTATACATGGCCAGTATACAGTGCCGCAAGCTATATGATGTGTAAGAAATAGTTACAGAGTTACAGTATCTAATCTGCGACATTAAAATAGATAACGAATTTATAGATTATTTACATGAAACGCGTATTTTAATGTGAACAAAAAAGTTTGACATAGCTTGTGGCTCTGTTAGTTAGTAATATCACTTTTATAAATGATCATGATTATATATGTATCATATTTAAGGTATTTGTTTGTTTCATAAATGACTTCCAGAAAACATATATAATGAAAAAAATGAATTTGTAATTGAAATAAGTATTATAAGAATAAATCATATTTCTATAAGTTCTAATTCTCTGGTGTTCCCCATCATTCTATCATAAATCACTCAAATGGTATGTGTTGAAATAATCGTTCTGAAATATGAAAATAATTTTTTGTGAATTTTTACAATTTAATAATTTACATTTAAAGAGATTAATGAAGCAATGATTGATGCAAGCTTATGATACATGCATAAATGTCATGCTATTATATGAAATGTAAATAGAAATGCGTTAACATGTATACACATTATTAAAACTTATGATATACAGAAAAATACAATTGCGATTATAAAGATTTTTTGTATTTTATTATTACATATAATTTATAAAATATTTCGAGCTTTTAATTTCGCAAGTAAAGTACTACACAAGATGTGCATATTATTATTGTATGCTTCGACAAAATATGTGCAAATTTATAACTATTTAAATAATTTAAAAAGGAGTAAACAGTGAAAGGAAGATCTGTGCCTTGCTGCCTCGCATATGTAAATATATTTATATATATTAGAATTTCTGAATACCCCGGTTGAATACTCCATAACTTCAGATATGAACAATAATTATTTATTAATATGAAGGTAATCATTAATAATAGATGTACAGTACATGATTATGGTATTATATTTGCTTATAACTAAAGATAAATGGAATAAAAATTGTGCAATAAATTGTAAAGCATAGAATTAAGAATGATCATGCAACGTATTGTTGATATGTTACGAGCAAATAAATATATACCAAGATCTTTGTGTGAAAAAGGAAGGTGACGATTTTTAGGCTCATCTGTATCCAGATAGTGAAGATCTACATGATATGAGAGATGAAAATTATGTCAGTTCTGACGACGACAACAAGACGTATTATTGCGAGGTCTGTGATAGAGATTTCCCATCGGAGGATGATCTCTCTGATCACAAACGTATACACATGATTTGTGGGATTGATGGCTGCACATTTTCGGCGCATCCCTCACTCGTTGAAAAACATATTAGTATGCAGCATCGTTCTGGTTTGTACCAAAAACTGAAGAATTTATCGACACCAGAAGATATTGAAAAATGGATAAAGGAACGGAAAAAGTAAGTTTAACAAATATCAAAATGTAAATGCATTAGTAAAGCACAAGTACAAAATTTTTTTCTGAATAAAAAAAAACAGGAAGTATCCCACTGAAGACAACATAAAATTACGTAAGGCAGAAGAACTAGAAAAAGTACAAAGGGGAGAAGTAATCAAGCAGAATTATAATATACGATCGAAAACAAATAAGATGACGAACGTACGTGAGAAAAAACGCAGGCCTCGCAAACGGTACATACGCGAAACCAACAGTAATTGTATCCGTACAGAAGAAACATATAGAGGTTTACGCCCATTTGCTGGAATAAGTAAGTTATGGGAATACATTTATTATGAATATAATTTGCTTTACAATGTTAGTATATAGAAAAAAATTGAGATCTTTCAAATATATTAAATTTATTGATATTTTGATTCTATATTAAATCAATTATGCAATTTATAAAATTTAGCTTATGTAAATTATAATCTAATCAGTTTATATTAAGAGAATCCTAAAGTGACAGAATTATTGACATCACAGATTAAAAAGAACCCCGAATTGGCTGTAGATTGTAAAATTCTTTTTACACAATTAAAATATACACAAAAACGGTGCGGGATGAACGATTTGACGCGAGAAAATCGAAGAAAGTTAAAAAATTGCAAGGAACGAAATATAATTTAACTTTTTTTTTTATTTTCTCGTTAAATCAATCGTCTCAGTTTTTTTGTGCATATTTTAATTGTGTAAGGAAGTTTTATAATTTCACAATCAAATCGTAATATTTTTAAATCTGTAATGTGTTGATATATAATTCTATTACTTCTCCCCTTAATGATTAAAAATTTTATTCTATATTATACACAAAATATCAGCTAAAACTGATTCTTTTCTATAGCTGATTTGCAAGAAGAAACTGCGATTTACTTAGATGAACAGGTGGAACAAACTAATTTCTGTGGAAAAGAAATTGATATTTCGGATGAGGATGATATACCGCATGCATCTACAACACCAGAATATGTATCGCAAACAGCAGCAGAGTCCACTAATTTAGCAACTGTAACCAGTTCGCTTATACTACCTAATTTAGTAGCAGATTATGAAAGTGAAGACAGTGGTAAGTAATGTGCAAATTTTAATATTTATAATAATCGAATATACATGTATTATAGCCTTTTATCATCTATTTTTTAATATAAGAATGTCTTGTGAAATTTATATGATTATTAAAAGTTAATTTTTTATCAGTGTAAATATTCTTTCGTACAAAGCAATTTAAGGTACCAATTTTATCTTTAGATGATGGTCCAGAAGAAGTATCGATAAAAAAAAGGAAAACGGAGGAGAATCTGCAAGATGATATTACAGAAAATACAATTCATGAAGAAAATTCTACGCAAGTTTGTGAAAAGGTTTCTAATACGCAGTCTTGTACCAATGCGGATGATGAATCAAATAATAAATTTCAAAATACAGTCGCTACAGATCAAAATAAGCAAAGCCGCGAACTAAATAGAGTGGTTAGTAATAAAAATGAGAAATTTGTACGTAGATATCATAATCAATTGTTAGAAAAATTGCTTTCGCGTTCTATACAGCATGAGAGAAATTTAATTTGTCAGTGTGTGAAATATATTATAGAAAATAATTTCTTTGATATAAATTGATCTAAAATATGAACAATTATGTAAAAAAATATAGAAACAATTTTATACATATATAGACTTCAATTTTTTTAGCTATTAGCACATTTAGTACAAAATGTTACGAATATTTATAAAGAAAGTATCTGTGATGTTTATTAAACCTATACTCATATATCATATTTTTATAATTATAATTTTTAATAAATAATAACTATGTAAAAAATTTGTTATGAATAAAAAACTTGTGGAATTATTTTTATAAACCAATTAATTGTTTAATTAATTTATTTATTTCATGTTATACATAAAGTTATGTTTGTTTCTTTTTCTTCTTTGTGTGTTTTTTGTCAGATTCTTGAATGCTATCATCTGCTGAAGCTCTTTTTTCACCAGTCTTTATAGAGATAAGATGTTTACTATGCTTGCCCGATAACGCACTAGTCCATTCCGCTTCCGATCCTTTGATAGCATACTGCTCCAAATTTTCTTTCTTCAGTTTCTCTAATTCTGCTTTTTGTTTAATTTTTAATTCCTATAATAGAGAATGTTATTTTTATATACATTACATAATGGGGAATTTAGAGAATAAATTATGTAAAATGTAAACCTTAGCTGCGCTTTCTAATTCTTTGCGTAAATTTTGTCCACCTAAAGGATCCAATTTTATTCCTTCACTAGTCAATTCTTTGGGCAACATAGTGCTCTCGATATATTTTTCCGCGACTCTGTTGAAATATTGGATCGATTTACGTATTGTACGATTGAATAGCCCGAGCAACTGTGAAGATGGAAGATTCAATTCCTCTGCCAATTTATCGACAGTTTTATGTTGTAAGCCCAAGCCAAGTAGAATAGCCTAAAAATTATTGCGTGTTAAAGAATAAGATTTTAGTATGAATTAAAACACTTAATATGAAATAAAGATATTTGGAATATATCCTACCGATTGCACTGCTGAAAAATGAGTGTCTCCCATCATATTTAAGAAATATAGACGTGCTAAAGATGGCACCAAATCCATAATCAGATGATAATCTGCCATGTTGTTACTGTACATTTGTAAGCGTTTCAAATCATAGGATGTAAAATAAACATTCATTGTTTCCTTACTCAATGCTGAAACAAATATTTAGTTTAATTTAGATTCATAAACATGTTAATTAAGGGATCTTCATTAAAATTAATTTCGCAGAGTATACAAGTAGAGGAATTAGTCTAATATATATATATAAAAAACAGTAATCATTGATTTTACATATAATAAATTATTAATAACAATTAATACACTTACTGACAGATTCTAATGATATTGTTTTGTTAATTAATATGCTTAATGCAAGTGACGCTGTATAGGTGTTGAATGAATAGGAGAGCAGACTTAGGAATCGCCGACAAAAATCGCTCCAGTAAGCTTGCAGCCATTTATCATTATTTTGTTCCACGTTGATTTTACAAAGCATTATACAAGAATGTTCTCCCGTTATATCATTCGCCGTTTGTCTGAAAAATTATATAAATTTGAGATCAGTTGACCTTGTATTTTATCACATTGGTATGGTATACACCTTAAATACACAGGTACGAAATTGGATCGCTTCCAAAATTTCAATAGATGTTCGGTAACTCCGAAAGACACTCCAATGTAATCCAGATGTTCTGGATGTCTTTCGCTCAATTTTAACAGAAGTGGTGGCAGCGAACTGCGCGGTTCTGCAATTGCAAAGAAAACATTACTATATTATAAATCGTATTTTAAAACATTAATATTTTATTTGAAAAGGAATTCTGTTAAAAATTTATTAAGAAATTCTGTTTAAAAATAGAAAATGTTCATAGATAAACGGATATTACCAATAGTTTCTTGTAATAAACCAACTGCTTCATCGGGAACATTTTTTATTTCTGTTATTGGTTCTTCTATAACACTTTCATTGATATTAGGCATTTTCATTTCGTAATATTGTTTCAACAGCTGCAATGCACGACGACCGTAGCCCATCTGCAATTTATTATCCCTTTAACAAATTCATATAATTTTAAGTCGAAAAGTTTCGACAAGTTATAAAGGAAAAATATATACTCCTTGATAATCAGGATGTGTAGCAATCCTAACAATGCGCGCGCCAGACAATACTGGAAAATCTTCATCTTGATATTGCTGAGCGATCGTCCAAGGTATTAAGTCGCCCGCTGCTCTACGACCTCGTGAGAGACCATCGTTTATGCTAGTTTTGCTGACTTGGCCTTCTAAGCAAATCTATATTAGAACGTAAAAAATATATCTCTTTGTATAGAATAAATTTATTATAAAATAAAAGTAATTCACAGGAGATGCAGTTAAAAAAAAAATTAATTTTTACATTTAATGTCTATTTTAATGAAATGTAAAATGTCTGAATGTCAGAAATTTATTTTAATTGAGATAGTTAAGATTTGGATAGAATTATAGTTACTTGAAGAACCACTAATATTTCAGGTAAAGTCTTTTTGTTGGAATCCACAGGTCCCAAGAGACAGAATAGATGATGCGCAGGTGCGTCAGACATCATTTGCAAATCATTAGGGGTATTCTAAAATATATTAACAGTTAATTAGGTTAATATTAATAAAATACAAATTCAAAAATATTTTTTTATGGAATACATACTTTATAATGTGATGCAACATACAGAGAGACCAATCTCTGCAGAAACAGTTCAGAAGCCTTATGATAAGAGAATAATGTATCTCTAAGAAAAATTAGAGAGAAATACATATTATTTTTTAATTTATAAGCATTTGAAAAATTATTTATATCAATATAAAAAAAAATACCTGTTTATATAATACAACTGACATATATCGGGAGGAGGACATCCAGAAAGAATGGGGGCATGCATTGTAACATTCAGGCAAAGTAAATCGCATAGCCATTGCTCTACAGCATCACCCGGTTTGTAACGTATTGATTCATCGAGAGTAAGTTCATGCAATTGTCTTCCGATAAGAGTTTTCTCATTTTGCTCCTTTTCATTTTTCCCGTTGTGGCTATTTGACCCAGCAGTTTGCGTTCTCAATTGCTGTAGCAATTTGAGTGATAAAGACCGACCTGTACCTTCATATCTATAAATATTAATAAATGAGAATTAATAGTCTGTCTATACTCCAGGAAAGTTTGAGTACTTTACCCATTTATAGTTGATGCGAGAAATATCAGGTAAGGTCCAAGCATCGCTTTGACATAGGGTAACGGAATTGCTGCTGCCTCATCGATCACAAGTAACTCTGCTTGATTTAACCTGTGGGTGTCTGTTGGATGTATATACTAAACAAAAAACGAAATTATGTTAATTTGCAATACTGTGAAAAAGTCTGGATATCCTGTTACAAACCAAAATAAATTGTATGGCTACATTTTTAAAATGTTTATATGTATAAAAAAAATTTAGTATTTTTAAAAAATAGAATTACACACCTGAATTGTTTGGCGATGATCTCGGAATACATTTACGCGGACAGTGGCTTTGTTAAACTCTGGATTTGTAGATTGCACTAAACCATAGTCGAGATGTTCCTGATATCCCAGAGCATCAAACCCTATGAATATATAAATTGTATTTTATACACTCGACGATTTCTTACATTAAAAAAATGACGATTAATCTAATACTTATTAATCTAATTTACCCTTGAAGACAAATTCAAAAAGAGTGTTCAAGTTCTCCGGACTAGGACTCGAGATGTATATATTAGAATATCCAAAAGTAACAGCTCCAGCGATAGCAAGTCCCAACGCAGCAGATTTTCCACGTCCTCTAGCTGCAGTCAGCGAAATAGTAGACCTCAAAGTTTTCTCAGAAATACATTCTATAAACTTAAGAACTGCCTTTGCCTAAAAATGTTTAAATCGTATTTAATATAAAATTAAAAAACATTTAATAATAATCTTATATATAATTAACACCAAAACAACTGATAATATGGATTTCGTTGGGATTGTCGGTAATGTCAATTTGGTAATTTTTCATTCTTACTTTCAGTTAGGAAAGTTATTTTGATATTATTTGTATTAGAGAATTATCATTAATATTATTAACATCATTTGTATTATGTTTATATTTTTAATATAATATATTTTAGACTGCATATCTAATATAAAAAGGAAAAAATTAAATGATTAGCAGAGCTAAAGTGGCATCATCAGCCGTTCTAGTATTAATTCATTTTTATGTTAATTTACCTGGTCGACTGTTTTACAGCAATTGATTAATGCAGATACAGGTTGAGTGTCCTGCAGACTTTCCTTTAAAGTATCCAAGCTCGATTGTTCCTCTGAAACGTCTGATTTAGGCACAGGTTCTATCCTTAGATTGTGAGAGGAAATAGGCAATACATTCAGTTGGTCATCAACAACCAAACATCGAGTACATGAAGCCAATGATAGCAAAAATCTCTCATTAAATCGACATACTATATCCTAAATTAATAAGATAAATCAGAAATTATATTAATCTATGTATATAAAAATTATATATTAATTTATATAATATTAATTTTATATATTTCAAATATATTTTAAAAAAGTATTATATTATTACTTTATGAGCTTCAGTACGGAATCTTTGATGAACATCCATGTTCATCGTATATAATTGCTTCAATGAATTCATAGATTGTAGTAAAAATACAATAATTCCACCACCCTCTACAGTTTCAATAGTACGTGCCAATAAGTTTGGAGTAATCGCCTCGAAATCCTAAAATCATTATACATAACATTATAACAAAACTATAAAACAGATAAGCAAGAAAAGATAAAATGATACATACTTGTAATATACACATGCCATATGTATTACCTAATATTCTGTGTGTCTCATTATAGTAACAATAACGAATATTAGTTGAAATAACAAACAATTCAAATGGATTATCTTCGTTAATGTCCAATTTGCCCGACTTGATTTTCTTCTGCAATGATTTCATTCGTTTCTTTCTATGGCTACTAAAACCTAAGTCTTTTTTGTAGCACCAAAGCACAGAAGGTCTAGCTTTGACGACAGTCTTGGATAACATATGGTGCAACAATACTACCTAAAAGAATATTTGTTTTTCAATAGATATATATTTTAAAAAATATACAGTTTCCTCAGGCTTTAGAATCTAAACAATTAAGTCGTATGAGAATAAACAAACGTTTTTAAAATTTTCACAAATTTCTTCAAATAATAAAGAAGTTCTTAAACGATTTCTTAATTAATACATTTTTTGATTAAGGTTTATTTATTTTAGTGGCTGTAAAATAGAATTAACAAAACAAATTTGTGAAAAGGTTATTTGGCTCACTTGGTCCCTTGCTTTCTCGCCGACAATGGCGAACAGCGTCCTATGTCCCATAGAAACACCATTTTCTATCAGAACGCGTAGCCGATTGTCTATCTTCTTACGAACCATTCTGACAGAAATATCGTGCTTAAATCCAAATTATTCAAGACCACGCCAATCGACCTCGTGCAAGTTGGCGCAAGTATGTAACATGCAATTCATAGATCACAAGCACATCCACTACGAATATATATATTCATACTTACACAAGGAACAACTCCCACCACAAGTTCTTCTCTTGTTTTGATAGAAATAAGACATAGGAAATAACCTATCAAAAACCGTGCATTCTAGTATACACATTTTTGATAGGTTGAAATTCTTAAACCTGATGCACAATTAAAATATAGGCAATAGAACCGGGGAATAACAGATTGCAACCTATTAGAAACAGAAAGTGTATTATAATAAACACGTGTTCTGATAGGTTGAAATCTAATAGTCTCGGTTCCTATTGGCTGTATTTTCAATTGTACATCAGACTTTACTCTGTGTTTTTGTACGCAGTCTCTCATTGCTTCTCAAGCTTTTCGTGAAAAAGGAAGGCCGGGATGGCCACTCTCAAATTTCTTTTTATATACAGGAATAATTTAGGTTATGGTGAGAAATGTGACATACACGATAGAGTAAGTTGCTGACGGACAAGGCGCGATGTGACTTCCGAAATGAATGGAGCAAGACCGATGTGCACGTTTAAGTTGCGCGACTCTTTTCGACGTGTTGTCACGAGGAGGAGAGAATAATTTTAGGCGAAGCGATTGTCCACTCGGTTATCTTTTATAGTTCACAATTTTAGAGCTTTGTATCTTGTTCAATTCGGTGATAACTTTATTAGTGTGTTCCTCGCGGTGACGGTCTTTACTTTTTTAATTTCCATGTAGCAATAATTCTCTATAATTATTCAGCACAAATTAGGATGATTCGAAATATTATGCCAACCTTGTAAGTAGTTTACTGCCGATTGACACGTGTGTTTTGATTTTTATGAGATCAGTTCATTAATGTTTTATATCTTGACATGTTTATATTGGAAGCTACATTTGAAACTCGTTCTTTGATACGAAAGATGGTAGAGAAGATTCCACTGCGAAAGACCATCGCTCGATTGGATTTTCCAGCAATCATAGCCATTGGCAATCCTCTGCTGGATATTCTTGTGATACTGAAAAATGATGAGCTGATTAAGAAGCACAATCTTAAGATAGACGGCGAAACAGAGTTGTGCGAGAAGAAGCTGCAAGAGTTAATTACGGATTTGCCACCAGAGTTAATAAATACATTTATTAGAACACATGTTTGCTCTATATATAAATTTTAATTTTTTGTAACATTTTAATTTTATTTTATTGTCATGTATGTCCAGAATACGTCTAATCAGGATATACTTTTGTTTTCATTCAATAAATTATTTTAACAAAATACTGGAGATAAAGTATATGTAGTATTTGTTTATAATGATGAACAAGCATAATATATTTAATAGAAATTTACATTTATGTCTATATTACACTTTTATTGTGAAAAAATGTATATAAAGATTTTTTCAACAGCAGACACATCAACATAGAAATCATTTTATCTTTGTTCAATAAACAGGCAAAGACAGAATAACTCTTGTGTCGATATGTTTGTTGCTGGAAAGTTTCCAGCATGGTATGAAGTTTTTGTCTTGAATTTGTATGAGAAATCACTTCTTAAGATCATGCCTTAAAATCTTTTAGAATACATAGTAGCTATTCTATATACATACATATATATTCAATTTTTATTAAGCATGAAAAATTTATACGCTACAGGATAGAACAATATACAAATCCTGGAGGATCTGCGCAGAATACATCGAGAATCTTGCAGTGGCTCTGTGACGAGACCCACGAGTCCCAAATCAGTATCTTCTGCGGATGTCTCGGAAATGATCAAAGAGGTTCGATCTTAGAAAAATTAGTTCGACTCGCAGGAGTGGATGCAAGGTTGGTAATACATATAAGAAGCGTTATTAAGCATTTTGCAGAAAATATAACAAATTTACAATGTATAATATTATAATAATTTTATTAGATATGCCGTACATCCAACTTTGCCTACTGGATTATGCGTTTCTCTTATATACGATAAATCCCGCAGTCTCGTCGCTAATATTGGCGCAGCTAGTGTATATACGTTGGATGATCTTAAAAAGGCTAATCTGCAATTAGATAGTATTAAAATAATTTACATCGAAGGCTATTTCGTAACGCACAGTTTAGATGTGGCCAAGGAACTGGTCAAGCGGGCGCAGGAGAAGAATATTATTGTAGCGTTCAATCTTAATTCTCTTTATATATTCCAGGTATATGAGAGCTATAAAATATTATTAACATTAAATAATATAATCAGCATATCATATGAGGCATATATCAAATTAATATCAATTTAATTATTGATTTATGTGAATTGAAATAACAAATACGTTATTTGTTTACTTGAAGTTTTTAATGCTTTTGAAGGATCATCAAGCGGCCATTTGCGAAATGGTCGGTCATGCTAAGATCGTGTTCGGCAATGTGAGAGAAATGATCGCGTTAGCTCAGGCATTGAACGTGAAATACGACGATGTTGCTGATATACCTTTCCTATTGAATAGCTTAAAAAGAATTACGATGGATGTTTCTAGCGCTAATAGTAAGGACTGGTTGGCCGACGATGGTATATTTATCATGACGCGCGGTGGATGCGGGCCAGCGATTATCGTGTGGGGCAGAGGACAATCTGTTCAGGTTTGTTTCGATCAAGAGAACAAATAAAGACAATTGAAAGAGACAGGTGGCAGTAGAAAGTTCAATTTTTTTGTATATTTGTTACATCCAGGTGCAGCCCATCGTGCCTAAGACACCTATTGTGGACACAACAGGCGCCGGCGATGCTTTGGCGGCTGGCTTCCTAGCCGGCGTCTTGGCCCACTGGGATCCGAAGAGTTGCCTAGAATTAGGATGCAAAGTTGCATCTTGCATGATAACCAGGCTCGGCGTCTCATTGCCGAGCGACATGCCTCCCGATTTTCTGCCATAACGATTTGATCTCTTTAGGACGCTAATGACTCGTTACCTGATAACGTAATTGCACACAGTTATTTATTGCCTGAAAGTTCTATTAGCGAATTTATTGACTGTTAGAACGATAACTACCATTCCTCGTCGATGTTACGTCCATATTCCATTAAGGGGATCCTAAAGTCGTTTGTTTTATCGCAATAATCTTTTGACTAATAATTTTCATAGAACGATATCGCATATATTACTTTTACAGATTTGAAAATCTTCAGAATTAAAGTATATTCATTAATATATATGGAATTTATATCGATAGTTTTGAAATTGATATCTTTTTATCATTTTTAGTATCAAATGGCATCCAGAGTTGTCGAGACAACATTTATTTGATATAAAAGTTCTGCAATCTGTATTTACGAAATTGAAACCTATAGACTGTTAGATTACATGAAGAAATAACGTCGAGTTTTTAGAGTTACACTTCTAGTTTTAAGAATTAGAAAAAGATGAAAAATAAATCGAACTGAGAATAAAGTTAATTTATATTATCGTTCTACGAAAATTTATGCGCGCGCGCGCGTGTGTGTGTGTGTGACATTGATATAGTAGTATATAAAGATATGTTGATATGTCGCATTTTATCGGTAAACGATGTTGTTGGAATTCGGTTTAAGATCCCCTTAAGCCAGTGCCATATGATGTATGTTTTCTTGTTTGATTGTTTGCATTTTAATAAATTATTAGAAATTAGTGAGTGTTCTGTATGATGCAATTCTAGTAATCTATTAGAACATGAACAATTTAGCAAGAAAATGTGCATCGTATATCGCTGGCTTCAGATATTTATTTGATATTGAATTTATTTATAGCAGAGATGCGCGTGTGTCACATCGCGGAGTTATATTTGAGAAAATTTTATTTATTAAAGATTACCGTTGCGTTAAATTCGAGTCGTCAGACCATATATTTCTAAATGCAGCAATTATATTATTATTATTATTGATAGTAATAGGGAGAAATATTAGAGATTTCCCTTGATAATCGTTGCCACTATAGATCTGTAGTTTATCTACCTGATGTTGCAATGTCCAGAAATGTGTAACAGAGTTCGTAATTAACATTTATATAATAAGTTTCCCTTTCTATTTTTTTATTACAAAGTATAGAGTAATGTGTCAATGTTGATTGTCATACATATACTAGTATATAGATATATATACTAGTATATAGATATATATATGTACAAATATATGTAAGGAAATGTTATAGCAAGTATTCATATTCATTTTATTTTGATCTTTTTTCTTCTTTTTTATAATATTCCTTGTTGACTTCCTATGAAAAAAAGATATTGAAATGTCGCCTTCCTTTTACAATTGTGTCAGAGTTTTCAATTTTAAGTTCATCTCAATCAAATTCCGTTTAATTTAATCTGCGATTAACTCGACTAGCAGAATTGTTTAGGATAAAATTTCTACACAGTTCTTAATTTTTTTTCGATACACATTAATAGAATTAAACATAATTCTATTAATTTAATAGATTTATTTTCTAAAATGCTGATTAAATTAATCGGAGTTTAGTCAAAGTTCTAATATCTATTTTTACCAAAATGTAGAATAATCTTGGTTCAATTTACTCTATCTTTTTTCAATTCTTATGATTCGAAAAATATAAAAAGTTAAACCGAGAATGAAATTAATTTACATTAAATGAATAAATTTTTTTTATTTTTTGAAGAAATGGACATAAGTTAGGAATTACGTAATTATAAATTTTGCTTCAATTTTGTCCGAGTTGATCAGAGAAAAGTTTGAACCAAGTCATTGTATCAATAATATTACATTAATTTTTAATCATCATTTTTGGGTCTGTTCTTTTTCCCCAAAAAAATTTGAATTGTGTACATTGATGCAATAAGTTAGTGTTATTGAAACAAATCATTTGTTGTACTCCAACTTTATTGCTAAGTGTATATTACTTGCAAACTTTCTTTAAAAAAAAAAAAAAAAACGCCTAGGCAATTATATTTTATGGACATAGCACGGAACAGAATCAAAGGATTGTGAACGTTACCTGCTGGAAATATTCGGTTATATAGTCACGATACAC